CTGGAGCGGCCTTGATTATGAAGCCCTTACCACTGAGGCTTTACTTCCTGTATGTTTTTGGCACATACACCCTTATGTCTTCTTTGTCACTGACCTCATTTTCTGTCCTTGGTGTGCTGCTTTCCATTGGCTGGCTACCACCCAACTCCTACTTCTGGACTCTCCGTTCTTTTAAAATCTTTTGGAAATTCTGGTTAAATATTTCTTTGACTGGAAGAAGGCCTTTTTGTCCAGTGTCCTGTCCTGCCTGAGCTATCTCTGTGAGAACTACAAACCCCATAATGAATGAGAGATGTTCTTAAAATATCTAAGCTACTTCCTGAAAACATTTCTCAGTACAAGTTCTTCAGGAGACCTATTACCTGCCAGAAACCCATCTACAAAGCAGGGATTTGGTCAGGAGCCCCTTGGGAATGGTGAAGGGAGAATGGACTACAACTCCCAGAAGCCCTTGATGGAATTCCCCATTGTCTTCATTTGCTGTCACCCTGAAGTTTTTTGCCTCTGTCTCTCCAGACTCTTTATTCAACACTGCCAGCTCTCTTGGACAGTAACCCTTTCACCGCTGGGGCAGAGCTGCCAGGTCCTGGTGCAGAGCTGGAGGCCATGCCACCTGGACTCAGGCCTACCCTGGGTGTGTTCCAGGCAGCTCTAGAACTGACCAGCCAGTGTGAGCTGCACCCTGACCTTGTGTCCCAGACTTTTGGCTACTTGTTCTTCTTCTCCAATGCATCTCTTCTCAACTCATTGATGGAACGAGGTGAGGGTTGGGCTGGGAGCAGCCAGGAACCACCCAGACTGAATCCAGGCAGACTTTGGGTAGCTTTGGGTAACTTGGTTTCCAGTCAGACTTTGTCTTTAAAGTAGGTCCATTCATGGCCTCTCATTCCTTTCTACACAGGTCAAGGCCGACCTTTCTATCAATGGTCTCGAGCCGTCCAAATTAGAACCAACTTGGATCTCGTTTTGGATTGGCTGCAGGGGGCTGGGCTGGGTGACATTGCCACCGAGTTCTTCCGGAAACTCTCCATTGCTGTGAACCTGCTATGTGTGCCCCGCACCTCCCTGCTCAAGGTGACCCCTCAGCTCCCTACCTGACTTTGACTTTTGATTCCTCAACCCAGCACAGCCATCCTCTGCATTTATCCTCTCTGGGGCCCCAAGTCTTCTCCAGCCCTAGATTAGACACCATGATGGACCACTGGCAGCTATAGAAGTCAGTATCAAGAATGACTGAACAAAAATATCTGAATGCTAATCGTACTTTCTAGAAATAGTTCTCCACGTCCTCCTTGTAGACATGTTGAGTCAAAGTCTAGTTTGAGACTGAGGAAAATGATGGTTAAGCA